GTGTCACACTTTCTCAACTTTACTCCGAGTGGCCGTAACCCAACGTGTCATACCATTTTGGAATCAGGCCGATTCCGTGAACAAATTAAAAATATTCCGGGCTGGATCCGGACCCGCAATCCTGAAATTTGGGATTCCCAAGTTTTCATTACTGCGATTGTATTCGGCGATTTTTTAACGTTATTTTTTGCGACAATATTTTTGTACAATAACAAGTTTTATAAATTCGTAATAAATTTGAGAATAATGGAAATTAATTGTGAAATCCAACGAAAGTCACATGAAATAAAAATAATTCTTTGTACGGAATGTAAGGACCTACGTACATCAAATTGTCTTTAAATTAAGTAACGACAGAACAGTTATCGTTGAATTTTTTAAAGGTAATCTTAAATATTAATGCAATACTTAAATGCAGCGATCAATTATTAGTTCTTCTGTAGTTTATTGTTGCCTATCGCATCTACTTCCTACCTCTTATGATGAAGGCTCAAACAAGAGCCCTCTGCAGGAGCTAGCTTAAATGCCACCCGAGAGGGCAGCTTTTAAGCTAGTTAGTAATAATCTTCAAAACGTGCTGGCTAAACTTGACACTACGACGAAGTGACCTTGTTTCACAGCATATTTATAATCTTCCAACAAGGGTAACCGTAAACTTTGTAATAAGTTCGATCCTTGCTGGATACTCGATACGTATGGCCGTGTGCCTGAATTAAAAAAATCTGGGTTACTGTGAAACTGATTGAATGAAAGGAAGTAATCTCACCTTCGATGTCCGGGGCAATGTCAACGGTTATTTGTTTTTTTGTATTCGTTTCAATCAGGGCCTTGCAAACTGACAAAGTATTTATTAGTGTAAATAAAAGAACTCCTCAGGAAAATAGATGTTGACAGTACTTGCTAGATTATGAGTCTCACTAGTGCGTCTCGTTTATCAACGCCGTTCTGGCTTACAGCCAAATCACGTTGAAACAACGGCCCCCATACAATCAGCAAAGTTAAGCAACATCAAGCCTGGTCATTACCTAGACAGATGACTGTTTGGGAATACCAGGTGATGTAAGCTTGGATGTGCGGATGGTGTAATGGATAATGACTCGGGGTTGTTAATCAGAGAGCTGAGTTCCAATTCCGGTTGGGTTCGTTATATTCACTTACGCGCAAATACTCTAGAGAAAAGTATGAATCCACCTCGTCCCCCACCAGCTAATACTTGCATCACTAAATCATCATTATTTCAAAAATAAAAAATAAATTCTTAGAACCTAAAAATATTTTCTGGCTTTAAATAACCTGCAAAAGGTTGATAAGCCGTCGAAAATGAATGAATCAATCAATCAATCAACGCTATCCTGCGTGCCGAAACTCGTGTTGAATTTAGGAGTTAGGAAAGTCATTCTTTCGAGGATCTTCAAACACGATTTTATGGTTTGGTTTATTTTACGGCATATCAACACCTCAATGGCTTATTTAATACCGACAAGATTTTTATTGCTTCTAATATTTTTTTCCAAAAATGTGTTGCACGTAAGATTTTCTTTTTCAAAATTGTATAGCTTGTAATTTTTTTTTCTTTTTCAGAAATGTATTATTATAATAATTTTAAAAAAAAATTCATTGCCAGTAATAATTTTTTTTTACAAAAATGTATTGCTCGTATTAAAACCTATTTTTACACTTTCATAGTGTTTTGACCCCAGTTTGGGGGTTAACTATTTGCCCATAGATGAGACCCTAACAGGTGCTACCACCCCAGGCCAGGGTGGACCTGGGAACACCAGTAATTAAGAGGTGGTTCCACGCTCCTCAAAACCTCCTGATCAGAGGCTTTGCCGTTGGATGTAGTTTATCGTCTTACCCAGGACGTGGATGTAGTTTATCGCCCTACCCAGGACGTGGATGTAGTTTATCGCCCTACCCAGGACAGACGATCTTTTGGTCTGGAAAACTTACCCACAGAGGCTCAATTTCAAGTCAGAATTTAAATTTGGAAATTCTTAGTTCCATTCATTATTCGATGCGTATCCTCATTTTAATTTAAACGTCAGAAAGTGAAATGTGCCAATTAAGCAATTATATATATATATATATATATATATATATATATATATATATATATATATATGCCTGGTGGAGGAAGAGGAAGCAGTTTTCGTTTAAGTAAGTTTTATTAACATTTAATTACATTTGTTGCAAATTACACCATAGACATGATTTAAAATTATAGCGTTCTAAGCACCAAACGCCAGGATGAGAAAAGTTTTCTTGAATTTCAAGATTCTTATTTATTACATTCTTGAAAATGCCCAATTAGAGCATTATATGTACATACAGTTTGTAAACAAATTGAAACCAAATATACGTTGCCTTATTCGAAAACAGAAAGTCTCTAAAAATTATCTAACCAAAATTTATATTTGGTCTTTAATAAAACCATAAACATTAGTGCGGGTGTGTATCTTGAAATTCGCAGGTTAGTTATGAAAAGTATTTATTTTAC